AAGGTAAATTATTTCAATGTAATCAATAATTTAATTAACGATATTATAGTGATATTAATATAATTGTTTCGAATGTTTAATTTTTATTTGAGCGTAAAAACGCATAAGTTATGACCCTAATCTGATAATTAATAAGTTTGATATCATATCTTCTTATTAAAGTAATTTTTTTAATATATACTGTTTAATTTTATTTGAGTACATTGTTTGAATATATATCTTCTAAGTGAAAGATAAATTATTTCAATGTAATCAATAATTTAATTAATGATATTATAGTAATATTAATATAATTGTTTTGAATGTTTAATTTTTATTTGAGCGCAGAAGAACTTATACATATGTGATTTCAAGATTTTATTGTTCAAATAAAGAAACTCCCTATAAATTAGACCCCTAATTTGGTAATTAATAAGTTTAATATCATATCTTCTTATTAAAGTAATTTTTTTATTTAAACAATATTAATTATTAATATAATATTTATAAAAGACGATATATTTTTCAAGTTTTTGTAAAATCAATTTTCAGTCATTTGCATTCATTATTTCATATAACTTCACCTTTAAATCTTCTAAAATATTCAAACGATCATTTAAAATAGGTAAAAAGAAGCATTTACCTAAAGCTGAAAGTAGTAAAATGGCTAAGAAAAGAACTAAAAAGAGATTATATAATCATAAAAAAAAATATATAAGGTTTATATAAGCTGATATAGTAAGTTATTAATTATTAATTTAATATATAATATTTTTTTAGTAACTGAGAAGTTTATCACCAAGGCGATTGCAGAAGCAATTGCTATACTCAAAAGTAAAGAAAAAAGGCTTGAAATATCAAGCTCTAGCTCTAGTAGTGCTAGCACTACTAGTAGCAAAGATAATAAAGGGCAATCAGATAGTAAAAGCAGTGGAAGTAATTCTGGTAGCAGTGTCTGCTCTGCTAGCAGCAACAGCAGCAGTCATAGTAGCAGCAGCAATAATCATAGACCACCAAGACAACTAACTTAGAAGCAAACAACCCACCTTTGTATAAATATATTTATTATCTAACTCTGTCATTTTTTTAATAGATTATTATTATAATTATAATTATTATTATTATTATTATTATTATTATTATTATTATTATTATTATTATTATTATTATTATTATTATTATTATTATAGAACAAAATTAAAGTATTAATAGAGAGGGTAAATTGTCCTCTTTAAAACCGGATCCTCTGGTTAAATGGTCTGATCAGTTAAAGGCCGTAAGACAAAAATTAATCTTGGCATTAATTAAAATTTATCTGGGTATAAGCAACATTCTGGTGTGATTGAAAGGATTCTAAAGCAGCATCATAAAACACAAAAATATACTGCACAAATAAACGCTGACCCTGAATTACAGTTGCATAATCGTATCAGAATAGGGTGAAATAGTAAGATTAATGAGGTAAGAATAATATAATATTAATTTTATATAAATTATTTTTAAATCATTCACTAAAAGTTATTAACTATTTATAAGTCACAAATAATATAATATTGACTTTATATAAATTATTTTTAAATCAATTCACCGAAAGTTATTAACTATTTATAAGTCACATACGATATCACATAGACTAAGGGTTGGCATTTTATTAGTATATAGTAGGAAAAAATTGCTATACAAAAATTTTGAATATTTCTAATTTATCTACCTAAGTTTGGATTATCTTTATAGAGACTGACATGCAATATTATCTGGTGTTGTATTAGTATGTAACATATAATAAATAACTTTCAGAAATTAAATACTATAATAATTAAATATTTTTTTTTTATGAAATTAGAAGAGGAAAAGAAGGCGAAAGGCATTAACTTTTTTTAATTAAGTTAGGAAATAAAAAAATTTTAAGATACTCGCATGATGACTTGGAGTTATTGACAAGAAGCAAAGGAGAAAATGCATATTATTTCGCTGTAGAATGGGTAATAGATGAGAATGTGACAGTAAGAGATGGGGAGAAGTAGAAAAAATTAGTATGTGTAGACAAATGGTGACGTGAGCCACATGTAAATATACATATTATTATCAAGATATTATACATACTAGGATAAAATTAGCTAGTATTATGTATAATACTAACTACTTTTATCATATATACACATAAGCAAACAATATATATATATATATTAATAATGTATTAACCTAATATATTATTTAGTTAAAAAGGCTTTTTCATAAACGAATAGATCTGTTTGTAAAACAACTGCAATCTAAAAATAAATGAATAATCAAACGTCACTATGAAAATCATATAGATAAAGAAGAAACACTGCCCTCAGATTGACTTAGTTAGGCACTATCACCCAAAGCAATAGAACAGTATAATATCACTATACTGAAATTTGATGCTGACTTTTCAAGTAGGGAAGAAGATCCAAGAAAAAGAAAAAAGCAAAAACAAGAAAATAAGGTGAAGAAACAAGTAAAAGGAAAGATAAAGATGATAAAGATGACAATGATAGAGTTGTACTATATAAACGAAGAAAAATGAATAAAGAAAGAAGTCACTCTTCCAAGTCTGCAAGATGCATTGAAGTAGCCCAAAACCACTATCGCAGCAACTCTAGCAACCTCCAAAGCAGCAAACCTAGCAACCACCAAAGCAGCAACTCTAGCAACCATCAAAGCAGCAACCCCAGCAACCATAATACCCACAACAACTCCAGCCACAGGAAAACTATTACTAATTGAATTAACAACATCATTGTCTAGCCCAAAAAGGCTAGAAACACCCATAAGTGAAGTTGTCAAAACAAAAAGGCAACCACAAGTTTATAATATCGAAGATATAGAAGGTGAAAGTGAAGGTGAGAGTAAAGGTGAGAGTGAAGGTAGGAGTAAAGGTGAGAATGAAAGCAAAGGTGAAGGTAAAGGTGAAGGCAAGATGAAGGTGAAGGTGAAGATAGAGGTGAAGGTGAAAATGAAGGTGAAGATGAAGGTAAGAGTAAGAGTGCAGGTAAAAAAAAAGAATCAAGTGAAAAGAAAAAGGTGAAGGAAAAAGAGTAAAGCGAAAAAAAGGGTGAGAAAAAGGGTAAGAAAAAGGTAATAACTAAAATATTGTTATATTTTATTGTTTGTTAAAAATCAGAATATAAGCTTATATCATAAATATCTTTATAGATAAATATTAAATTTAATATAAAATCAGAATAAAAAATATAAATATTGGCTATGATATATTAAAACAGTAAATATTAAATTGATGCAAAACAATAAAGCTAATATTATATAAATCGGTAAATATCGTTATAATATCAATAATAATCAAAGTAATTTATAATAAATCTTTAAAATATCACAATAGAAACAGTTAAAATAACTAAAATATCATTCTAAAAAAAAGCAGAAATGAAACAAATAAATATATCATTAAATATTAACAAATAAACTACTAAATCTATAAAATATCGTCTAATTAATTTATTAAAAAAATATAAGTAAATATTATTATAATATCAATAATAATCAGAGTAATTCATAATAAATCTTCAAAATATCACAATAGAAACAGTTAAAATAACTAAAATATCATCCTAAAGAAAAGCAGATATGAAGCAAATAAATATATTATTAAATATTAATAAATAAACTACTAAATCTGTAAAATATCGTCTAATTGATTTTATTAAAAAAAAGAAAAAATATTGGTAAATATTGTTACAATATTAATAATAATCAGAATAAATCATAATAAATCTTCAAAATATTACATTAAAAACAGTTAAAATAACTAAAATATCATCTTAAAAAAAAGCAGATATAAAGCAAATAAATGTATTATTAAATATCAATAAATAAACTACTAAATTTGTAAAATATCGTCTAATTGATTTTATTAATAAAAAACAAAAAATATTGGTTTATGATATTTCTAATTAATAATTATCTTTAAATAATCGTTATAAAATTGCTTAAAAACAATTCATAACTATAATATCATCAAATTTTTATAGATGATATTATAATAATATTTTAATCCTCTAAAACATTTAAAAATCATTAAAATATCAGTAGCATATCATATAAAATGATCAAAAATCTTTGTTAAATAGCCATTATAATATTGGCCTATAATTAATCAAATTAGTTAATCTTTTTTTGAATATCTTATAAATATCTTCTTTATATCTTTTAAAGATTAACTAATCTTCTTTACAATAAATAGATATTTATTTCTGGCATTAAACCTATATATAACATATTTTACTAAAATCTTTAGCCTATTAGCTTTTTTTATATAAAATCAATTAGTTTATAGCCAACAGCCTATCGGCCTGCTATCACTATAGCCGATATTAGATGATATGATGATGATATTTTTGATTTCGACCTGTGAATCCTACTGGTGACAAAAATTTAAATTTACAGAAAATGCATTTGGAAGACTTTATACTAGCTTGTACTGAAAGGTAGTATAATATGTAGTATGATACATAAGTTATACAAACTGAGTGAAACTACTAAATAAATCTAGCAGATTGATGGGATTATGCATGCTGACAAAATTATTTTAGATTTCAGAGTATGAAATTAAAATTTAAAGACAAAATTGTTTTTAACCTATTTTATTTAAAAGACAAAATTTTTTGACCTTTTTTTGAAGAGACAAAATTACAAAAAAACATAACTACCTAAATTAAATTTGCTCTTGCATATAAAAAATTTTAAGTTGCTCTAATGGAGAAAAATAGAGGTTTTGAAAACCTATTTCAGTGACATGTATAGATAGAATATGAGAGCCCACTTGGCAAGACCAAAACAGAGAGATAGCACAGATCTTTGACAGTATTATCTAATAATTTAAAAAGGAAAACTGAATAGCAGAAAAAGGGTGAAACAAATAAGACCGAAGTGTTTGGCAAAAGCATTTCACCAACTAGGTCGCTGGATGAAACCAGAGAAAAAGAACTCAATTGTAGATATCAGAGGTGGGTTACAGCCCTTCTGAGCTATCTGGATTAGAAGTTTGGGAAATCAGAAGTAGAGATTAGTTTGGAAAATCAGTTGTTAAGTATATACTAGATTTGGATGAACTTTGCAATGGCAGTAGTAGGTAAAGGGCATGCCATTTATTACATAATTTTTACCATGGATACATGGTCTAGCTAAGTACTAGTAAAGTAATTACGTTATACATATATATATAATATATAATATATAATCAAATATACAAAATATATAATATATAAATTATATATATATTATAA